TTCACCTCCTTCAGTAGCACAAACCCTGCAATTTCTGCAGTCTGCCTCTGACGTCGTTCAGTCCTTGAACTCAACCTAAGTTGGTGTTAAATGCAGAGAAGAAGAAGAAGAAGCAAAGAGTTGTTCGCTGCGTCTCCTAAGATTAAAACCATTCAAGGAACTGAAATTGAAATGTTCTTACAAGTATCTAGGGACCGTTATAGATCAGAATGTATCATCTTAAAACTCACATTCAAAGGCTTGAGTCGAAGTTTAAACTAAGTTACTTTTTTAGAAATCGATCCTGTTTCTCCCTCCAGGTGAGAAAACACTTGATTCACGCAAGTTTTTTCTTTTTTTTAACCTTTATTGGATCACGGTGACGTGCTTTTTATGAATGCACCTGCACACTATCTAAAGAAATTTGATACCATCCACCATTGTGCTTTACATGTTATTACTGGCTATAGGAATCGTGTACGTCTTTGTTGTTTGTATGCTGCTGCTAAACGTCCGTCTCTGTATATTCACAGACTCTCCCATTGGTTGGTCTTGGGCTGGTTCCCTCTTATCTGTGTGTTTATATGTGGAAAAACAACACAGGCTTCGTTCTCATAATATCAGACAATTGATTGTCTCAAAACTCAGAACAGAATCAGGGAAAAGGGCTTTTAAACACGCTGCTCCTGCTTCCTGGAATCATCTGCAGAAGGAACTGAAATAGTCAGAAATGGTTCCTGAGGGAAGTTCAAGCCCATCTTAAAGGAACGAGAGAGTAATTATTTTAGTGTGATTGTTTTTAATGTCGCTCTTAATGATCTGTTATTGGAAATTTTTCACGTTTGTGCGGGATATTGTATTTGTTTTCATTCTTATGTACTTATGTGGTGCATGTATTTTTGACTTATATCAAGCCAGTATCTCTTAACCTCAGATACACTCAGAAAAATAAAGGTGCCAACTGGAACCAAAAGTGGTTCTTTAGACTGATGCCATAGAAGAACCTTTCAAACGATGGTTTAGCAGTTCAGATACCTTCCAACCAGAAAGCTGACAGTCTGTGTTCCCAAGAACGTTTCAGCCATTGTTTGTTGGCTCACCAAGTAGCTTTTGACTTCCCCTGATCCCCGCCCCACTCCTGTAGGACAGGGCGCTGGTAACTCCAAACTAAGTAGCACATTAATAATCGCTTTTGATGAAGAGAGCGAAATAATCCAGTGAATAACATCAACATGAAAGCAATCGTCTCCTTAAGCCATGCAGGCAGTTTATCGAGGCTGCTTTCTCAGAGACAGACGTGTTTCAGCATTCGTCAGCTGCTCGTCTCAATCAGGGTTTTTGTAAACAAGCTTTTAAAACACACAAAGACTGAATGTTTAAAACTTGTAACCTCAATTGTAAACACCTGCTTTAAGATTTAAAATTGTTGTTAACCATAATCTTAAAAGCACAGGTTGACATGTGATTCTTTTAGACCAATCATCTGACAGGTGTAGTATATAAAGGCTACAACCTCCATTGTGTTTGTTTGAATGTTAGCTACAAAGTGCTGGTATGAGTGTGCACGTGAACTCAAAGCACCACACGAGCACGAGCGCCTTTATATTCAGGGAACTACTGAAAGTACATTTTGATAAAAATAACCCAACGTGTGCATCTCAAGATTCAGTTCAAAGACTTTTTCTAACCAAAGTTTGATTGACTGTAAAAGCAGACGGGTGATGTTTCCCAACAAAACCAGCTGAACCAGAGCGGTCACATACACTCTGAAGGCTGTGATGTATCACTGTACACCTGTCAGTGTGATGCCTTTAATGATGAACCTCTGAATAAAAATATTGTCACATTTTTAAATAAATTAATGCACGATATCATCAGCCTCCTGTTTGCCTCGTCAAACATCAGCAAGCCAATCATGCTAACGTTTAACTTCTCTTCCACTTAATGCCTTTTGGCCAGCTGTGTCTTTTAACTT